CTCAGAGTCAAGTATGTAGTTAAAATGGAATTTTATTCTTTTCTAAACTAATGATTATACATGACAAGATATGAATAATGAGATGTGATGGAGTGGATATGCGGTGAGGGAATGTGATGTGTGAGGTGGTGTGATGTGAGCTAGATGTTTATCAGAATCTTGGTATCTGAAAGAAATTGTGAAATCTGGGTGTAAAATAATTTGTTGTCTGCTATAAACTAGAGAGTTGATTATTAATGAAACAGCATCAGACCCAATCTGTTGTGTCTACGAACCCTGGCGGAGACCCCCAGCAGATCTGGACTGTCAGAAGTCAGGTGGACCTCACGACACCGGGAGCCCGTAGATTAGCTCCGATACGACCCATCCAGTCTTCAGATGTCTCCAGGTCACAACAGTAGCTGGAATGCTTGTTTGCGTCCAAAGTGGATGTGGCTCTAGGGGAGCCGTCTGGCTGTCAGCTAGCAGCATGCAAACAGGTTTCGACTGTAAAAGAGATGTCTCAAGAATGCTTGTTCCAAATTGGCCGGTTCGGAACTCCGCTAGAAACTGAATTACTCGGGAAGTAATTCTTGTTTTATTAAACTACTTTGTTATGATTTCTGGCCAAGTTTGGCCAATCAGAATGTGCCATGTCTGGACGGCTTTATCAAAACATCCCTCAGAAAGCCACGCCTTCCTTCAGATACAAGATTCTTAACACTGTGAATGAGAATGGCTTAAAACAATTATGTGAGGTGAACCTTAACCTATCTTATGAAGATGTGTGTGAGTGCAAATAATGATTAACTTGTTAAATCAAACACACACTGATCATAAGATCTGCAATGGATCAGTGTAAGAGCAATATTCATTTCAACTTCAATGATTCAAGCATAGATTATTCAAACATTTCATTTAAACATCTTGTTCATTCAACCATATGATTAATTAACTTATAAGTTGTAAAGCCTTGTAGGATTCGTGTGGGTTTTTTATTCAGAGTGAGGGATCCAACAGTCTGACTTTTAGCAGAGAGATAAGGGCTTTTACGGGAGACCTTGACAGTTTATTTATGTCTGCGTTGAAGAACAATAAGTGAGCAAAAGGTTGATTTGTGCGTCTGAATCCTCCAGCTGGTGCAGCCTTGACTTTGCAGCTCTGGCATGTATGAAAGGTTATGCTGTGTCAATTCGATGGTGAAAATTGACCCCTCTGATTCATTACACTGGTGTGGTTCAAGTAATTTCTAGTCTTAACTTCTTATTACACTTTCAGTTTTTCCTTATGGAATCTAGAGTGCAGAAATGCAACTGAGCAGTCAGATGTACGAGGGTTGAAGGAGACTGTCCTCTGATGACTGAGTGAATTAGGGATGAAAACTCACTGTAGATCTCCTCGATGTTAATGTGATCCGGCTGGGAGTCGCTGATGGTCACCTGCTCATCTAACCTGCTCTCTCCCAGCAGCAGCCCCTCCTGTCAGACAGATGAGCACAAATCAGTTTATACTGTATTTAATCACATAACAAAGATTTACAGCATTCAACCCCAGCCCTGCTATATCTGTAATACTCTGAACACAGTGAAGTAATTTCTACTTAAAATTCAATTAGCAGAAAATGAAATAGAAATTTCACTAGAGATGTGAAATGAACTAAAGGACTGCCGAATTTACCATCAGAGGTCCCTTGGTTGTGCAACAGTGTTTAACCACTTTCACAATAATTATTTTCGTCAAGGTTCTTTATTTCGTTTAATATGCATTAATTTGAACAGAGTCTGGCGGGTCAACACAGAGCTTTGAACAGGTTGAACTTGACCCACTGGGGCACATTTAAACGTTTTTTTTTCACACCGAATCCCCCGCCTGAACGAAGCTAAATGTTTGGAATGTAAAAATCAAACGACCAACAAATTAACTGTAGTTTGTAGGGACACCACCACCACCATGCCGAGTAAGCTAACTTTCTCACACAGCTGAAAACACTCGGCCTTCTCCTCGCCAAGAGGAGTCCTGCTAATTATTGCGGACTAAAAACAGTTTCTCACCACGTCCGAGTCATTGTTTACATGATGGAACATGAGAGATGCTAACACGATCCCCGGAACTCGCACAGTCGGCTCCGCCATGATCAACAACGGAAGCCTCGAAGTCCAAAAACACTACTGTGAAAAAAATTGTGAAGAAAACGAAACCAACATAAACAACCATGTGCATCAAGTTCTTATGTCTGAGGAAAGAAGCACAAGAAAACATTTACACTTACATATATAGTTAATAAAACGAACTTTCTTAAAACCTAAGATAAAAAAATAAATAAATTACATATTTTTGCCTACTGGCAAAGTAAACTTATAAATGAAGCCAAATGCTCTAAGTTTTGAATAACCCAGATAAAATGACTTCAGTAAAGTTAGCAAGATATTCACAGATTCGACTTTTGCGGCTCAATACTCTTCTACGTTGAAGACATGACCGCCTTTAAAAAACATTGTTTTCAATTGAAATTTCAGACTGTCCTATCCAGTTTGATTCTGATATATTTTTAAATCTAAAACAAAACAAAAAAATAAACAATACATATTCAACAGAGTAATTTACAATAAACTAACATTTAAAAGATCTACAGAAAGCTGGACAATTAAAATAGGAATTAAACTATTCCCATGTCATATAAGAAAGCAGAAAGAAGCCTTGGTTTTGTACCTTTACAGTGGTTTTCTGCTTAGGTGTAATTTATTTCTTATTGGAATGAGCCGTATCTCATGAGAAAAATTCTTTTCAAATGTTTAAAAAAAAGGCTATTTTTCTTTTATTCTAAGGAAACAGGGCATGGGGTGGGGAAATAATCACTGTAAATTATCACAGTAACTTGTTAGAAGGAGATGCACCCCACAAATACATCTAGGGTTTTGTGATTTCTAGGTGTAAACTATAGATTTAATTTAATTTGAAACGTGTTTGCTTTCAAATGAGCAGCACTTCGGGCAATGTTGATTAGTGGTAAAATGGTGCTTTACAAAGAAATAAATGGAATCTAAGTCCAATCTGGCCGATAAATGTTAAAATGGCTTGCCCTAAAGACCCGATCTCCGGGGTTCCTCCCCGCCCATGAGTAGCTTCAGTGAGTCCGTCAGCAGAACATCCAGAGTTCTCTCTGCAGCTGGAATCCGAGATCTTCTCACCGGAGTCCGGAGCCAGGTATGAACCCCTTCTTTATTCCTCGTGTCTGACCCGGTTTGACCCAGGTGTGGTGTAGCTACTATAACCTGCATCTGGATCAATTTTCAGAGTGTGAAACATCTAAACACTCATTCACCTGCTGGCAAACACTTAACTTATTACGTAACTATAACACATTTATGAGGTGTCACACAAAGTTTTTTTATACATTTTCTCTAATGTCAGACTGTTAATTAAAAAACAGAGTGAGAATTCTGCTTATTTGTTGATTTTTTTCAAATTGAAAGAAAGAAAGTTCAGGGAACTGAAACAAATGATTTTAATCATTAATTATTTGTCTCATTGCTGATTGATGGAGATGAATGAACGAATGAATAGATTTATTTGATTTATTTTTTATTTTAGTGTCCCTACTGATGCTGGAGGAAACATCTCGGAAATCCCATCTTGAGCCACCGTTTTCCAGATCATGAGGTGACCTTAAAGCCACAACAATGGAGGACATGTGGAGTGTGGCTGGAGTCATTTTCAAGCTGTGGATGTTCATGGTGGTGTTCTTCATCATGCTGCCTGCTATGTTTGGCCTCTCTCTGGGAGTGACTGGGGTCTACAACCTGATTCTGGTCAAAATCCTTGAGGTAGAACCTGCAGTTTCTGTTTGATGCTGACAATCTGTTCTCAGGGGAAACTCGTATGTGTGCAGCAGGCTGATGGGTAACTACAGAGGTGATCTGAAAACATCTGTCTCTGTAGTGGGCTACAGTTCGCATCCAGAGAGGACAGCAGGAGCGGCTGAATGCACCCGTCCCTTTGCTCACAGGTAATCCTGCTTTAAAAATGAACAATAGAAGCAAACAATAATAATAAAGAATCACAAGTTATTACCAGTAATTGTATTAATATTTGGTGATCATTGCAAGAATGAAAAAGAATTACAGATGTGTAAAAAATGCTTTACAATTAGTGATTGAAAATAATTACTGTCAAAGTGTAAAATGAAAGTAAATATAGAAAACACGAGAAAACAAAACTAAGATGTAGCAAATCCTGCAAGTGTACACAGCCATTAGGATTGCTGGAGTAAAATAATGCCCACTGCGCATGTGTGCAACAGCTAGCGAGCCTCTCCACTGTCATTTAGACTACCTGACTTAAAAAATGACGCCTAATTAATGAGCGCCAGCTTTTAAATATGATGCCAAGCCGTCCCCGTTTCTGTAATATCTAATCCAGAACTTGCATTTTGTGGAAGTAAAATAAAAATCTGATTATTACACAAATCATTCGACAAACGTGTTCAAGTCTGTACTGGAAACACGCAGATTCATTTGGGGTTTGCAACACGGATCCCCGTTTCTGTGACCGCAGCATCTGTTTCTGCAGCAGGTGGATGGAAACGTGCTCATAAAGAAGACAGGGTAACGCCGGTTACACAGACCTGGTTTGAGTTTAAGGAGGCTGATGTTGAGTAGAAAAACATCCTCAGTTAAATGTTGTGGAAGACTAAACGCACGTTAACGCAGATGAGATGAGCTGCGGTTCGTTTAACACATGATGAACACAGGCTTCCAAACTTTCCGAATCGGATTGGGGAAATTTGGTGCATGTAAATGTGGCTAGTGTCATCACTCACTGCTGAAGCAGTGATGATACGTATGGATCCTCAACTGCTGAGAGGACCCGGACATCGTATTACTTGCTCAATTTTCCCCTCCCAGAAATTACCCTGAAGTTCCGACAATGGAAACATGCCTCTGGTGTGAGGGCCATTTTCTTGTCCCAAACCGGACACCTTACTCCCACCTGAGCCTGGTTTAAACACCACAGTCTGCCTGAGTATTGATGCTGACCATGTCCATCCCTTTACGACCACATATACCCATCTTCTGATGGCTAATTCCAGCAGGATAAAGCACCACGTCACAAAGCTCAGATCATCCCTAATTAGTTTCTTGAACATGACAATGAGTTCACTGGATTCAAATGGGGTCCACAGTCACCAGATCTTAACACCTTGTTGAATCAAACCAAGACTTCAAGCTCCTCTGGATGCAAAAGAGGGATTCATCTGCTTTTAGCAAGGTGTACCTAATAAAGTGACCAGTGAGTCTACATACACAAAAATGCTTTTTTTTTTATCTTAGTGCTGGACATTTTCTGTTGAATCTATAAATATAAAGTGAGCACGATTTCAAACAATTTGATGTAATTTATCGTCTCTTCAAAGAGGACAGATTCAAGTCCTGAGACATCCAAAGGTTTTAATCTGGAGTTTGATCTGTAATGACCTGTGTTTTCTGGGTAAAGTTTAACACTAGAGAAGGGATTGTGTGGACAGTTAGTTGGTGTTTTACTGGGACTGACCTGAGGCCACCCTCTGCAAGGTGGGTTGTTGTTACACAGAGTCCAACTGCACGAGATTTGTTGTACACAAAGATCATGTGACTCAGCTGAGCAAGGGTCAGGGCCTTCTATTGGTCTGCTGCTGCATCTGATGTCAGGGTGTCATTCAGTGTGAAGAAACACTTTGTGTCCCAGGATGATGATGAAGATATGCAACCATCGACTGAATAATGTTGGCAACACACACACACACGCACGCACACACACACACACACACACACACACACACACACACACACACACACACACACACACACACACACACACACACACACACACACACACACACACACACACACACACACACACACACACCAAAGAAGCAGAACAAACAGAAACAGCATGTCACGGATGATTAATGATTAGAGATTCTATCAGCAACAGAACAATTCAGAAACCTGAAAGTTTTTAACAAGCTGAAAAATGTATAAAATGGAAAAAAAACCATCGTAGAAAACACAACATACAAGAGCACAGTTACGTTCAGCTCAGTTCTTAGGAGAAACAACTAGATGAGACAAAAAAATGAACAAAGAAAAACATAAAACCATCTAAAAGAGGTCGGTAACCCAGAGTTATATTCAAAAGTTTAAAAATAAATGTGACCCTACATTTAATAGACAATAGTAAGTAAGTAGTAAGTAAGTAAAGTTTATTTATAGAGCGCCTTTCACAGATATAAATCACAAAGCGCTGTACAACATGAGTAAAATCAGGGCAAATACCTCAAACCAATAAAAACATCATAAAAACAATAGCAGTGACAACAATAGTAACCAAGATCAGGAGTAAAAACAAAGTGAAGGTGTGAACAAGAACAAAGCCATCTTTTAGAATATTTAGCGGGGGAAAGCCTGGATGAAAAGGTGAGTTTTAAGATGTTTTTTGAAGACCTCTACAGTGTTAGAGAGACGGAGCTTTGAAGGTAGACTGTTCCAAAGTCTGGGTGCAATAGTCTGAAAGGCCCTGTCCCCTTTGGTTTTCAGTCTGGTTCGAGGAACAGCCAGGAGGTTTTCAGATGTGGATCGGAGGTTCCGAGAGGTGGTGTGTGGGGATAAAAGCTCAGATAGGTAGCTTGGAGCCTGGTTGTTAAGAGCTCTATAGGTCAGGACTAAAACTTTAAACTGTATTCTATATTCTACCGGGAGCCAGTGGAGGGACTGTAAAACTGGAGTGATGTGAGCTTGTCTGCTGGATTTGGTTAGGAGTCTGGCTGCTGCATTTTGGATGGCTTGAAGGCGTGAGAGGGAGGTTTTGCTGAGACCAGTAAAAAGAGCGTTACAGTAGTCTAAGCGTGATGACACAAAGGCATGGATGATTTTTTCCAGATCTGCAGTAGAACTCAGTTTACGGACTTTCGAAATGTTTCTCAGTTGGAAGAAACAAGAGCGGGAGATGGTTTTGACGTGTGAGTCTAAACTTAAAGCTGGATCAAAAATAACTCCCAGGTTTCTTTTTTTTTTTTTTTTTTTTTTTTTTTTTTTTTAACGTGTCCTGTCTGGCTGTGAAGCAAGCAGAATTGATGTCTGAATGCTGGTAACAAGCCTTACAGTTTTACTCTCAGGTGGAGCATCAGAGCATCTGCTTTTAATGTCTCAGGTGGAGCATCAAAGAGTCTGCTTTTAATGTCGCACCTGATATTTAAAACTTTATTGTTATTGTTTTTGAATGCTTTGTAATTTCGACCAGACACGGAGACAGAGGTGAAAGAGAAAGGAAAAGAGAAAAGGTGGGGAGAGAGGGGGTTAGGTGGGGGGGGGATTCAACAAAAATAAACAATAATGAACAAGAGTCTGCTTCTAGACCTGCAAAATGAGACGAGAAAAAAGCAAAACATAACAAAAAAATGGGACACAACACCAATATAACAAAATCAAGCTATCACTGCGTCAACTTGATGAAGAAATATATAATCAATCATTGTTTAACTAAACAGTCACACGATAATATACCACAGTGCATTGAGTGCCCACCATAGTCTTAAGACATGTGTTGAACGTGCCCAAGCCCATACTTATGAGAGCACCATGTGAGCACCTGTGTGTGTACACGCGCTTGTTTATGTAAGGTTTATCTATAGGAGCGTCCAATAGAGAGTGTGAGGGACCACAGATCTGCCCCCCAAAGACGCGTAGGAGACGGGGGGGAGCTCCAAGTCCCAGAGATCCAGGCGCTGCCCCAGAACACAGGAACCCCAAGGAGCCCGCAACCAGAAAGGCCCCCGCCCCCCTCGAGAGGCACAGAGGATCGCCCCGGGGGGCCACAACCAGCAGCCGGCAGAGCCCCGGGAGATATCAGCGGCAAGTCCTCAGGCCTGCCCGCAGCCTCCCACCCCCTAGCCGGCCGAGTCCGGGACCCAGCGACCCGGGACCCAGGGGCGACCACCCCCGCCGGGGACCCAGCAGAGCCCAGGGACCCAGACCCCCCCAGGCCGCCACCGGGATTGATCAGGCAGATGCCAAAAATCTTAAACTCCCTGACCCGGGAGCCACGAACACTCAGGCAGACCAAGGCATCACACCCACACCAGGTGTGACAGGGGGGAGGGGAGACGAAGATCTATATCATCAAAGGAGGTCCCAGGAGAAGGGAGGAGTCAAAGGCCCCACCTGACATATACAGTCATACACAAACACAGTCACACACTCCCTCCCTCATGCTCACACATGCACATACAACCAAAGACTTACAAAAATACACGCCGGACACTCATTCATGCTCCCCATACACACCCTATTCACTCTGGTCCCGGTAATGCTGCACATGGGGTACAACCACCACCGGTTACCAGAGTTTGACCCTTTCTGCTGGGGTGCCGATGAGCAGGCTCCCCCGCCCACCGCCGAGCACAGCAACCCACCACCCCAGACCCCAACCAGACGGCCAGATCTCCCTCCTAGTCTCCAGCCCCAGGCAGCCAAGCAACAACAGAGGTGTGCTAAGACCCCCTGGTCTCCCTCCACCTGCTCCAACATAGTGTTGTGGGTTAATGAGGTGTATTCTATTGCTGTGGTGAGCGGGCAGTGCGGGCATTTTCTGGCCTATGCCAGCTGATGCCACTGCACCACCCTACTTGCACCCACAGCCCTTGGTGTCTAAATGCAGTTTAAAATTCGAAGTGGGCACCGGCACTCGGGAGGAGGCTGAGAACTCCCCCTGCCAAGTGCCGTTGAATGTGCTCACTCCCAAGGCCCTAAGTGTATGTTTGCGTGGAATGTCGTCGGTGGAAGTGCATAAGGTGCAAATAAAATTGGGGGGCAGGAAGCCACAGGAATGCGGAAATGGGGTCCATACCCGCACTCCTCGACCTGTCCACCCCCCAAGGTCCTATGTGCATGTTTGTGTGATGATGTGAGGGAGCAGGAGGAGAGAAATAAACGGGGATGGGGAGGAATGGCTGGTAGGGCTTAGCCCTCC